ACTCAGCTCTCCTGCATTGGCAGGAAGATTCTTTACCACTGAGCCACCTGGGAAGCCCTGAGCTATGCAAATGGTTCTCAGAGGAGTGTTCTTAGTAATGCAAGTCAGTGACACAGATTAGAGGGTGGTTATTCGCCTTATGGAAGGAGTCACTCCAGAATTCCTTTAAGTTACTTTTTCATTTACCTTATAGGCTTATTTATAGACCCTTAAATTATCATTTGACTAAAGCCACGGCAGTACTCTTGCCTGGAAAATCCCATGGGCAGAGGAGCCTGGTAGGCTGCAGTCCATGGGGTCCCTAAGAGTTGGACATGACTGAGCAACTTCCCTTTCACTTTTCACTTTCATGCATTGGAGAAGGAAATGGCAACCCACTCCAGTGTTCTTGCCTGGAGAATCCCAGGGAGGGGGGAGCCTGGTGGGCTTCTGTCTATGGGGTCGCATAAGAGTCAGACACGACTGAAGCGACTTAGCAGGGCAACAAAAAACATCCAGCAAAAATGTTTTTTTCCATTTAAGAGATTTAGCAATGAAGGAAAAGTATTTCTGAAACCTTACTATGTCAGTGAGAAATTTACTGAAATAGCTTAAAGTATAATTTAGGGAACACATCTACTGAATAAGACTAGATGCACATATACAGACACAACCACATTATAGATGGAGTTCAGATATTGTATAGTTTCTTGTGCAAGGATCTTAATAAATCTCGTGTTGAGGACTCATGCCCAATCCTTTGCAGGATTATTCTTTGCAGAAGGGCACGCTGCAAGGAGTATGTAGTAACACACTGTTTAGTGGTTAGTACCATCTGGGTGGTCAGGAATCCCAGTTCCTACTTTACCACAGTTAGCCCTCCTTGATACATTGTTTTAACAGCACTATATCACTGTCCTACGAAATATGCCTGTTGGACCAGATTAGATCTCTAAACTCTAAAAGCCTCTGAGTATCTAAATTACTGAATATTCTCAATGTGCTTGGTAGCTGGTTTTGAATTTGAGAAAGCTGGTTAAACTTTTTCAAACTAAAATTTTAAAAATCCAGTGCATCACCTAACTCCTTACTCCTCTAGAGAACTATATCCACACTGGGTTTCCTTTTAGCCTTGGGAGAACCCTCGGCTTTGGATCAACTTTGGTTTCTGCTCTCAACCCCAGCCCTTGACTTGTAGCTGTACAAACTTGCTCTACCAGTGATGCAGCTAGTAATATACAAACAAAAGCAATCACAGAATGTCATTATAAAAACAAGAATTGAAATCTAAACATTTGTTAAAAACAGGTAACAAGCTTTACTGTAACAAAGTTCACTGTGTTTTTTGGGTAGCATTATTAAGGATATAAAAAAAAAGCAAACTTCTTTTGGAATTTGAGTGAAACTTGTTTTTTCCTTCCCCCACCCCCGCCGCATCCTCAAGTGAAACTATTGTTTAATAAAAGTGAGTGAAAATAAAGATTTTAATGCAAAAATTATTCTCAAGACATAACAAGCTAAAAGCCTCACAGGAATTTAGATCTTTCACCCATGATTCCACCTCCTGCCTTTCTGTTTGTTTTTGTTTTGGTGTTATTAAGCCGCCTTAAAGCTTTTCTGAATGAGGTGTAACAAGAAGAGAGTTGTTCATGCTAATGAGTGAATGATTGCTATTAAAGGTTACTCTCCCTAAAATCAGCTTTACTCAGAACTTGGTTGTAATGTTGTGGAAACTACAGTTTTAGATCAGCCTAAGAGCTGTAGGGTTAGCATTAATTTATGAGGGGAAGATAGATATACAGAGACGTGGTGGTGGGATTCATATTCAGGTTTGTTGGACCCTGAGCCCTTGTTCTGTCCATCGTGGCACGTTGCCTTCGTGCATAGTAGGTGAGTATGTGTTGAGTGAAGTAACTCATCTAGAACAATAAGTTGCCCTCAGTGATGTATCTTTGAGATTATAGGATACCTATGTTGTTGCTGATTCTCAGTACTTTATACAGTGCCTGGTACACCAAAATACTCAACAGATTTTTTAGTTAATGTGTGTTAAAGTGCTCTTGATTCTTTTACTTGTTTTAGTGTTTTGTTTAACACAGAATGTATGTTCAATAATTTAAGTGAATTATAACTGTAGCTACAGATGTGCCTATCATATTGGTCTATGTGGCTGCATTCATTTTGGTTGCTGACCATAAAACTGCTTTTCCTTTAGATTAGAAAGGTCTTTGGAGCTTTTAGACTCTTTATGTCATTATTTCAATCATGACATTTAAACCTGAAACTTTTAACAGATAAACTGCTGGCTTTCACACAGATGGGCTCTTATTTGGAAGGAAATTTTAGGACTGTCTAGTCAGACTTCCCTCCTGTGCTTAAGGAAGCATCACCACCATCACAACTGCCACTATTACTTCCATTAGTTATCACATGCCAAGCACTAAACATTTCACACATGGCTCCTGTGAAGTCTCATGTTGATATGATCTTTGAGGTGTAATTATCCCCACTTTGACAGTTCAGAAAATCTGGGGTCAATTTGAGGACAAACAGGTTATCTAAGGTGGCAAAGCTAAGTTGGAACTCACGCCTATCTGACCCAAAGCCTGTGCCCTTTTCACTGTACTGCCCTCAACAAAGTTTCTTCCCTGCTTCTAGATGGGACAGTCATTATCCTCTAGATGAGTTTGTTTCATTTTTTAACAACTCTTATTATTAGAAGAAAATTTGAGATAATATCCTTCTACCTCTTTATTCATTAAAGGTCTCTCTGAATCCTGTAGAACAGTGGTGTCCCCAATCTTTTTGGCACCAGGGACCGGTTTCGTGGAAGGCAAGTTTTCCAAGGTCTGGGGCCAGGGGGGTAGTTTTGGGATGAGTCAAGTGCATTACATTTATTATGCACTTTATTATTATGCACTTCATCAGCTCCACCTCACATCATTAAGCATTAGATCCTGGAGGTTGGGGACCCTTGCTGTAAAATGTCTACAGACCTAGAAATCTCATCCTACATAAAATGGGCTTGGAGGTCAATACTTGGGTGTGAATGTGTGTTTTAACTCTTTAAATAAGGTTTTGTTGCTGTTGTTTTATGTTACTGTAATTTTTATATAACTTCATAGTCTGTGGTTATTTACTTGACTTTCCATCCTGAAAACTTTTCTCATTTTCTTTTATAGCCTTCATTCATAAATATAATTTTCATAAAGGCCACATGACAGTGAATTTTAGAAGTGGATTTACCTTGGTTTACTTACAACTCCCTTATTACCAGGCATTTTGAGTTATAAATAACACATTGATAAATATCTGAGCATACGTTGCATTTTGTATATATTTACATACTGAACATGACTCAATTCTGGTACAGATGTCTGAGTTACACAAGGTTGAAATATTATACCTACTTGTAATACTACATGATCTGGCTTATAGAAGAGGCCCAGACGTTTCAATTTAAAGATGGCAGTAGGTCTCATAAGCCATTTTCATTTCACCAGGGGCACATCCCTACTGTGTAACTCTGATTTCAGGCAGGAAAAAAACAAGCAGGGTGATCTTTAGGCAGTGGGGGACAGGGGTATGTGACCCACATGTGATTTGTGAGAGATAAAAAGCAAGTAGAAATAAGCAAATTTAGATAATTTCTAATTATCACTGCAGAGATTAAAAGGTTTGGAGACATGAATGTTTTATTTTTCTGAACAGCTTGTTCAGTTGTTCTTTTTATGTTCAGTCAAATTGCATAGGAACTTGTTTTCAAGTAGAAGATAGAGTCTGAAGTTTTATTTATACAGGTTAAAAATTAAGGCTAAAATTGGCTCTTACTTTAGCTTTGTAATATAATTGGACTTACAGTGCTCCTCTCTTTATTCAGCATCAGCTCTGTACCTTAAAAATATTTATATGTTGATAAGTGAAGAAAACTAGTTGCAGAAAGGTATATACAGTACAATATCATTTAGGTTAAAAAAAAAATTAAAAACCCAAAGCAAAACTATTTGTATGGCATGTAGTGGGTACTCAATAGCTGTTGACTCTGTATGCATAAATATAAACAGATTTGAAGATAAATAATTGGAGAGGTTATCTCTGGAAAGAGGTATGTGACCTAATGTGTGTTTTTATTCTATGTACTTTTATGTTTTAATTCTTTTCAATAAGCATGTGTTACTTTTGTGTATCTTTTTTTACTGATTGAAAAATGAAGAAAAATTTACAATCTAAGGACAGATACCTCCTTCCCAAATAGGTCCCCTGTTTCTTTATACAGAATTATTCCTTCTCCAATAAATTAAGAGACAGGCATTGACCAAACCTGTTTGCTTGGTGCCATTTGCATGTAATCTAATAAGCTTTAGCGAGTAGAATTTTTCTAAGGAAACTTTCAAACATACAAAAATAGAATTATACCTACCTCCTAGCTTCGATAGTTATCACCACAGGACCAATCTTATATCATTTATAGCCCCATACCCACCCACTGGATTATTTTCAAGCATATCTTAGATGTATCATTTCATCAGTAAACACAGCAGTATGTGTATCTAAAAGATAGGATGCTTTTAACACAACCAAAATACCTGTATCACACTTAAGGATGAGCAATAATTCCTTTATATCAATCACCTGAAGAGTTTTTAATATTCTGCAATTGAATTACTAACTTTAAATTCAAATTGCTATTTTGTTTTCACTGTTTGTATTCTTCAAGTACTTTAAAACTAGTGTCTTTTTTCCTTTCAAATTTAGTTTGAAATTGCATGTTTCCTCCTCGAGTTGTAAAGAAACCAAAATGATGGGTTTTGCTTTTGATACCTTTGCTTGTATTTCTTAAAATAAAAATGAGAAGCTTGAATAAATGGCTGGGTATCTTCACCTTTAAGTTTTAAAAATGATTCAGGTATATATTAATTGAGTTTTACTACATTAGAATGGACAGCTTTTTTTTTTCAAGTGCTTTTCTGATTTCTTGTCTGACTTCAATGTTTTTGTTTTACATAGGTCTTTAATAGAAGATGGCAAAGCCCAGCCACAGCAGCTACGTCCTTCAGCAGCTAAACAACCAAAGGGAATGGGGTTTTCTCTGTGACTGTTGTATTGCAATTGATGACATTTACTTTCAAGCACACAAAGCAGTTCTAGCTGCTTGTAGCTCCTATTTTAGAATGTTTTTCATGAACCATCAACATAGTACTGCACAACTGAATCTCAGCAACATGAAAATTAGTGCTGAGTGTTTTGATCTCATTTTGCAGTTCATGTATTTAGGAAAAATTATGACAGCTCCTTCCAGTTTTGAACAGTTTAAAGTGGCAATGAACTACCTACAGCTGTACAATGTTCCTGACTGCTTAGAAGACATACAGGATGCAGATTGTTCTAGTTCAAAATGTTCATCTTCTGCTTCTAGCAAACAGAACAGCAAAATGATATTTGGGGTGAGAATGTATGAAGACACTGTGGCTAGAAATGGCAGTGAAGCTAATAGGTGGTGTGCAGAGCCAAGTTCAACAGTGAATACACCACATAATAGAGAGCCTGATGAAGAGTCGTTGCAATTAGGTAATTTTCCTGAGCCATTATTTGATGTGTGTAAAAAGAGTTCTGTGTCCAAATTATCTACTCCAAAAGAACGTGTATCACGACGCTTTGGACGGAGTTTTACCTGTGATAGTTGTGGATTTGGCTTTAGCTGTGAAAAACTATTAGATGAGCATGTACTAACCTGTACTAACAGACATTCATACCAAAACACAAGATCCTATCATAGATTAGTGGATATTAGAGATGGAAAAGACAGTAATATCAAAGCTGAATTTAGTGAAAAGGATTCTTCTAAAACCTTTTCTGCACAGACAGACAAATACAGAGGAGACACAAGCCAGGCTGCTGATGATTCAGCTTCAACCACTGGAAGCAGAAAAAGTAGTACAGTGGAGTCTGAACTAGCCAGTGAAGAAAAGAGCAGAGCCGCTGAGAGGAAAAGAATCATCATTAAGATGGAACCAGAGGATATTCCTACAGATGAACTGAAAGACTTTAACATTATTAAAGTTACTGATAAAGACTGTAATGAGTCCACCGACAATGATGAGTTAGAAGACGAAGCTGAAGAGCCATTTTATAGATACTACGTTGAAGAAGATGTCAGTATTAAAAAAAGTGGTAGGAAAACTCTAAAACCTCGGATGTCAATAAATGCTGATGAAAGAGGTGGTTTAGAAAATATGAGGCCACCGAACAACAGCAGCCCTGTACAAGAAGACACTGAAAATGCTTCTTGTGAGCTGTGTGGGCTCACAATAACTGAGGAGGACCTGTCATCTCATTACTTAGCCAAACACATCGAAAATATCTGCGCATGTGGCAAATGTGGACAAATACTTGTGAAGGGTAGACAGCTTCAGGAGCATGCCCAGAGATGTGGAGAGCCCCAAGATCTGACCATGAATGGGTTAGGAAATGCCGAGGAGAAGATGGACATGGAAGAGAATCCTGATGAACAGTCAGAAATAAGGGATATGTTTGTTGAGATGTTGGATGACTTTAGAGACAATCATTTCCAGATAAACAGTATCCAAAAAAAGCAGTTATTTAAACATTCTGCCTGTCCTTTTCGATGTCCTAATTGTGGCCAACGATTTGAAACTGAAAATCTAGTGGTTGAACATATGTCTAGCTGCCTAGACCAAGACATGTTTAAGAGTGCCATCATGGAAGAGAATGAAAGAGATCACAGACGAAAGCATTTTTGTAACCTATGTGGGAAAGGATTTTATCAGCGGTGTCACTTAAGAGAACACTATACTGTTCATACCAAGGAAAAACAGTTTGTTTGTCAGACATGTGGGAAGCAATTTTTAAGAGAACGTCAGTTGCGCCTGCACAATGACATGCACAAAGGCATGGCCAGGTATGTCTGTTCCATTTGTGATCAAGGCAACTTCAGAAAACATGACCATGTACGGCATATGATTTCTCATTTATCTGCTGGTGAGACTATATGCCAGGTCTGCTTTCAGATATTTCCAAATAATGAACAGTTGGAACAGCACATGGATATTCATCTGTATACATGTGGAATATGTGGAGCAAAATTTAACTTGAGGAAAGATATGAGATCACATTATAATGCCAAGCATTTGAAAAGAACATAAGGATTTTCTACTGTATAATGTTTAGCTGATAGGAGACAAAACACCAAAGCAAAGGATATGAGCTATTTAGAAAATGATTTTATAAGATGACTTGCTGAAAAAAATTTTCAAGGCCCTTTTACCTTTAATATTTTTGTTTAGGATCTTAAGTATCTACATTTTAGGTGTTATTAAATGTTTATCATTTTTGTTATTTCTTAATAGAATTCTTTGTTTTTAGTTTGTTTTAGCTATGATTAAAATTACTTTTAAATGTAGATTACAAGTGGTTGTTACCCCTTCAGTGACTATTGAAGCTTAGGTTGTTTTTTTTTAATCGATAAGGTGATGATGTCACAATTTTTATTTTATTTTGTTTTTTAAGGCTACCTTGTGAAAATTTAAACGCAATATCATTGGCCATTCCTGTTTAAATTAAAAAAAATTTTTTTTAAGTAGTTATTTAAAACTATCCCATTTACTTTAGCTTTTTTTTTTTTTTGTAAGTTGAACAATGGTTTAGCCACTGTTTATTTCCCTGTCTTACCAGTGAAATTCATATTCTTAAATTGAAAACTTAGTAGGCAGGTTAGGTGCGCTGAATCTAACCTTGAAGGTTGACATGGGCTCAAACTTGGCCTAAAAAGATTGATGGACCTAAGGAAATTCCTATAAATGAATATTTCCTATGATTGATAAAATATTATCATTTAATAATCACATTTAAAACTTATATTAAGTGTAAAAACCCAATGACTTAACTCCACTTGACAAATTAGTGGGGACAAGTCATTTTGTTTTGTGATATTAAATTTAACTATGATAGTTAATTAAAAAAGCATATCTTGTATTCATTTAAAATAATTTAAAATATTTTGATTTCTAAAGTGTGTTAGCTTATCAATTATTTTTGTTTATAAATAGACTTTAATAGCTTTCTAGGAAGATGACATCTAAAGGAAAATGATTTTTCACCTTTAAAATGACATACTTTTGGAACTTTGAGATTTGAGAAAGCTGCCATGTATATTGATAAATCTAATAAAATAAAGAAATCAATCACAAATCTGGTTGTTCTATAAAAGTAGAGTGTGCAAAAAAAAACATGTCTTGTGTTTTATACTAAGATTTGGAGAAAATGTGTTATGGAAAATTAGTTTATCAACATGCTTTTTTTTTTCTGTAAAGGACTATAAAATTTGAGGACTATAAAATAATAACAATATATAAATGGAGACAGTTTATCATTTTTTAGATAAAGTAGTATTACTGTTAGTTGTTGCTGACACGAGGTCTACATGAATTACATGTGAATTAAAACTGGCCCACAAATCAACACATCTGTTGGATAGAATGCGTTTTAATGTAAATTACTTGCATAGTAATACCCGTCTCATAATGAAAGGGATTTTAAATAACTCCTATATTTAAAAGTATAATTTTGTGATTATGAACAGTAATTTAACAGTATTGTTCTTTTTGTTTACATCACATTTTAAAGATATGCAAGTCCTATTTTTGTATACAATTTGCATAAAAGAACAAGTTTGCCAAGAGAACTGAGAGACATATTGACTAGCATAGATTTAGTTGAAAGAAAAGACCAGTGTGTGTGCTCAGAGATTTGTGAGGACATGTTGAGGTGTTATGTAATAATTGAAATAGTACAGGAGCCATACAGTATTAGAACAAAATAATGGGAAGTAGAGATGGGGGAAATACACAAAAAAGACAAATGAGAAATCAGGATTTTTTTTTAAAAGCCATATAGCAGAAAAAGCTAGAAAAATGATTCATCTTAGTTCTTGGTTACAGTAGTTTATCAAGTTATTAAATCTGAAATGCAATTTAAAATGAAAAATGTATATACATTACTGATAGAAACCTAATAAAAGTTCTGTAACAAACCCAGAGACCATCAGAGAATAGAGAGAAGCTCTCAAACCAAATTTCCAAAGTATATAGCATCTTAGTAGACATCACTTTCTTTGGAACCACTTTTTTCCATGACCCTCTTCAAAGTCTCTATTGCAATGGCTCTCCCACCATTAAAGAACAAGTTTGTTGCTTAGTCCCTAGGTTGTGTTCGACTCCTTTTGCAACCCCATGGACTGTAGCCGGCCAGGTTCCTATGTCCAGGGGGTTTTCCAGGCAAGAATACCAGGGTGGGTTGCCATTTCCTTTTCCAGGGGATCTTCCTGACCCAGGGATTGAACCCGTTTCTTGCATTGGCAGGTGAATTCTTTACCACTGAGCCACCCGGGAAGCCTCTAAAGAACAGAAGCCTTTCTAAATACTACCACTCTGTAAAAGATGATTTCTAACCCGCCTTTCTAAATACTATCACTCTGTAAAAAATGATTTCTAACCTGCCTTTCTAAATACTACCACTCTGTAAAAAATGATTTCTAACCCATTGGGAAAGGGGTTTAGTTTTAGACACGTACTAACAGCCAATTAGCAAGCAAATATATAAACATTAAACATAATCTCTAATTTTACATAACTGAGATGTTTATAGTTTCACAAAGCCACACCGCAGGATGTGTTTTCCCCATGTGTTACACAGGACACACGCCTTTTGTCTTGCAGCTAGCTACAGGCAGTACAAGTTTCTTTGAGTATATGTATAATTTTCCTCATGAAGAAAAAGTTCATTTAATGACTACATGTCTCCTTTTAAAACCAGGGGGAGTGAAAACTACCCAACACCTCTCTAGCCCAGTTTTTTCTCACTTCTTCCCTCTCTCGGAGTGGAGCTACAGAGCTATGCCTACTTAATACCGCTTCTTGCCCTCCAGTGCTATGAAGACAGTGAATCAAGGTTGTGGATGTTGCCTCCTCCTACTGTCTTTGTCATTTAAGTGATTAGGCTCCAAATGTGAAAATGAAGGGGAAATCTAGATAGATATATGTGGAATCTTGTTTCTTTTTACAAATACGGTCTTTCTTAAAGGGCCTTTTGTTCTCCAGCAAAAATCTTGGGGGAATGGATTCAGTACTTAGCAAGCTTGCCACCAATTCCAGCGCAGCTCAGATGTTTATAATTTTTAGTAAACAGGACTAAGAATCTCAGAGATTGTGGATTAGGACTCAGAAATTTGTCTTAATCCTGTATTTTTAAAGTAAGAATATTCAGAGAAATGACTTACATGAGTAAAATGGCTAAAGTTTAAAGTTTGGGTATAAACAAAAAGAAGCACTCCAAGGGCTAGATACAAAAATTAAATAATTAAAATAAGGACAGAGTTTTCTAGAGTAGTCAGCACCAATTAAAAGGAAAAATAATAGACTTAAGTAAAAATCACAAGTATTGTAGTTAAGAACAAAAATATGAGACAAACATTGAGTTAAAGTGAGGGGAGTATAGAATTTGATAGGCTAAAATAATCTGATTAATTCCATTAGAGCTATAGAATGCCTAATGAAACAGCTTTTATGAACATGCCACACATAAACATGTGAGATAATATTCCAATGTTTATAAAAAGTGGGAAGAGAAGCTGGTGGTGGTTTGTAACTTTCTCTGGTTAAACAATACATGTTCCTATATATCACTAGTTAAAAAGAACTGTATTTAATAGATCTGTGGAAAATTCCCCAAAGAACCAGAGTGAACAGTTAGTAAGTTAAACATAAAACTTGTTCACAAAATGCTAAATTAGTACCAACCAGGAGAAAAACCTGAATATGTATATGCATACATAGTTGAGAATAAAGTAGTTTGGTATATTTAATTCTAAATGGGTTTTATGAGTTACACATTTTTTTTTCGCCATTAATCTACTTTGATTAGCTCCTCCTCATTCATCGCCACCCCAACCTCCTTTGTGACATTTGCTTCTCGGTGATAGAAGTGCTCTGAAGGCTTTGACAATGCCTAAGATTCCAGGGTACCGAAAGGCTCTGTGGGAACATACCTTTGTGAAATGTCTCCTATCTCCTGATACCTGAGGTGCAGTAAACAAAGTGATAGAACGAATGCCAGGGAACTGGCAAGTAAAGTTAGATTTGGTGTTAAGAACTGTGGCCCAGATTTGGAAATCTATGAACTATCCATCCCAGGGCTCTCAGTAATCCCATCATGCATTTCATTAACACTCTTTTACTCTGCTAAACACTTGATACAGATATAATTTTAATGAATCCTCATGGCCTTATGAGGTAAGTATTCTATCAATAATTTTCCAGATGGGGGACTGAGATTCAGTGAGACTGAGTCTTTTTCCTAAGATCATACAGAAACTAAATACTAGCACTGAAACTTGAAACTAGACCTATTTGATTCCTACATTCCTGTACTTAACCATTAAGCAACATACTTTACCAACCAAGAACTACAAAGAAAAGCCTTTTCAGTTCAGGGAACACGTATGACAAAGCTCCTATGAGATTCTTTGCTCCTTGTTCATCATCTGTCATCTACTGTGCCTGGTAAGATAGCTGGTAATAGTGGTACCTAAATGATCATGTTGAATAAGGTGAAAATACATCAGTCAGAAGCAAAACATTTTTATTTGATAATTTAGAATGATGTTTTAGAAATGAATATTAAATACTCTTTATGTTTTAATTTTCCTTTATATTTCTACCTCTGTGATGTTTTACCTCTGTTTTCCCTATTCCTGATTGTTATGATTGTCTCTGACCAGTCACCATTTCCTTTTATTGGTTATGTGATAAATCATTTGAAAATCTCCATTGTGCCCTCCTCAAATCAGGACCCCAGAATGTTTTGCTCTTTTTGCCTTAGCAGGTGATGTGGATAAGAAATTCTTCATTTATTTGGCTAAAAAACAAAATCCCTAATTATCATTTTATAAGGATTAAAGTTTACAGAGCAATCTAAGTCTGTCTAAAAACAAGTTATTCTAGCTATTTATAATTCAATTTACCAAAAATATCTATGTATTTCTACTGTAAACTTACAATCTTACTTGTAAAAGAAATGAAAGATAATTTCAGGAAACAACAATTGTATATCCACCCTAACCTAGCAGCAAACTTTTAGGAAATGGAAT